GAGGCGTGGGCTTGCCATGCCTTCATGGAGCTGTCGCGCCATCGTCGTCACTCCGCTCACCGAGGCGATGGACCGAAACGAACACACAGGAAAGAAGAAGAACGCATCGACCCGAACTCTGCTCACGAAAGCGATGAGATGAGATGGATCACATGCGCGCATATGCATCGGATTCGGATCCTGCAGCGCCGCCCAGAAAGGGGTCGCGCGCGCAGGATATCTATCTGCTCGTAGTTTTTGCTGCATGTGCACGCCCGTGTTCATATCTAGGCCGGGCATTTGTTTTCTTGTTTCATTAACAATGGGCAGAGGAGAAAGGGGAACGAGGTAGCAGCTAGCAGTATATAGTATACTCGACTTTGCTTGGCTTGGCTTGAGATGGTCATGTGCACGGTGGATTGGGCTGTACTCCATCAGTGCCTGCCTGCGTGTCAGGACATTGCACATATTCCGTAGGAAAGGAGCCACCGAAAGATAAATCAAAAGATCGTAGTACTGTAATACGTACTACATGCACCGATCTGAGATGAGATGGTTCCCGTACGCCGTTAGTGATAGTCCCAAGCAGGTGCCGTAACAAACGGTGTTCGACTTGTTGATTCCGCAACAAATAAGTGTACCTACGGAACGTACCACGTAATGCAAGGGCAAGAATAGGCCATGGAGTAGTAGTGTCTCGCCTCGCTTATGGCCGAAAGAGCAGCTGGCGAGCACGCACTCCCTTGGTGCCATGGCATCTCACACGTACATTTAGATTTGGGGTTACGCGTGTCGACGGCGAACATGCATGCAGCTTGTAGACTGTTCTTGTAATGGTAATCGATCTGCCTGCCTGTTCGTACTGAAGGAAGAGAAATGGAGTGCCCAACTCTCCTCTTTCTGAAACATGACGGTTGGTCTTGATAACAGTTTTGCTTTCTCGTATGTCTAATGTCAAAGGTTAGTGAGTATAGTACAGTATCATCTCCTGTTTATGCAGGGAAAACCAGGTTCTGCTATCTACTGTCAAAAGTCAAACAGCGATGAATGTATACTACTACACAATTTCACCGGTGATAGTATACACAGTTTCTCTGGGGGACTTTGACCATACCTGGGCCACGTTCTCCTCGGTCAAAACCAGTTTTGACCGGAGTAAAATAACCCATCCTCCAGCTTGAACGCACATACTCCGGCTGCTAACCAATCGGGTTCAGGTCGGCATGCATTCGCCAAAAAACACTGATGAACGTAGGACATATGTGCACCGCCGCGTGAGGTCCACTTGCTGGCAGCATCCTTCGCGATAACAGTTCATGCAAAGGCATTATCCTTTTCCATTCCACCGGTTTAATCATTGTGCTCCGGAGGATTTGCATTTGCTTACTTACAAGCCGGTCCTTGAACCGCGCCATGTGCCATGCACGATCCACGTAACTAACCGTGGCGCATTCTACGGCCGCATGCAATGCAGGTACAAGGACGGGTCGGCGGCGCGCGGCACGGTGGGCACGGAGTCGGCGACCATCGCGCTGTCCGGGCGGGAGGAGCGGAAGGCCAAGCTCAGGGGCCTCGTGCTCGGCTGCACCAGCTCCTACACCGGCCCCAGCTTCGAGGCCTCCGACGGCGTGCTCAGCCTCGGCTACAGCGGCATCTCCTTCGCCTCCCACGCCGCCTCCCGCTTCGGCGGCCGCTTCTCCTACTGCCTCGTCGACCACCTCGCCCCGCGCAACGCCACCAGCTACCTCACCTTCGGCCCCAACCCCGCCGTCTCCCCCTCCTCCTCCCACGCCTCCCCCTCCTCCTGCGCCGCCGCCGCCGCTCCCCGCGCGCGCACGACGCCGCTGCTGCTCGACCGCCGGATGCGCCCCTTCTACGACGTCAGCCTCAAGGCCATCTCCGTCGCCGGGGAGTTCCTCAAGATACCGCGCGCCGTCTGGGACGTCGAGGCGGGCGGCGGCGTCATCCTCGACTCCGGCACCAGCCTCACGGTGCTGGCCAAGCCGGCCTACCGCGCCGTCGTGGCCGCGCTCAGCAAGGAGCTCGCCGGGCTGCCGCGGGTCACCATGGACCCGTTCGAGTACTGCTACAACTGGACGTCGCCGTCGGGCCAGGACGCCGGCGTCGCCGTGCCGAAGATGGCCGTGCACTTCGCCGGGGCGGCGCGGCTGGAGCCCCCGGGGAAGAGCTACGTGATCGACGCGGCGCCCGGCGTCAAGTGCATCGGCCTGCAGGAAGGCCCCTGGCCCGGGATCTCCGTCATCGGGAACATCCTGCAGCAGGAGCACCTGTGGGAGTTCGACATCAAAAACCGACGGCTAAGATTCCAGAGGTCGCGGTGCACGCACTGATCCTGATCGTCCGTTCCACGTCCAACCACGTCTTGTGTTTTTTCTCCTTGTGGTGGTGGCCTCGCTGATTGTTTGTATTTGTTTTTTGTCCCGTCCTCAGATCTATACTAATGCAATGAGAAAAAAATGAGCAAGCTGTAATAAGTTTTCTGCTTCTCTTTTTCTTTACCACATTTGGTATCTTCATTTCAGTGAATATATATACCGTTTAGGGCTGGTTAGTTTATTTGTTCCAAAATTGTGCATATGTTATACCACTGGACAATGTTTTGAGCTATATAAAAAAATAAACAACATCTTGAGTTATCATTTGGCATGAATGATGAGCTATATCAATAATTGTTTCTAGTTTTGTGGCTATTTCCGCACAACAAATTAGCATGAAAAAGAGGCGCAAATACAATGCAACACAATCCGACAATCGAAAACCGGGCCTAAAGCCACAACGGAACATGATCAAATAATGATTTGTCTTTCATGAGTTCATTATCGATTGATTGGGCAAAATCTCGAGATATGTTAGTGTGGGCGGATTGATTTTTCACATGCTTGCGCTGGTAAATCTCTCCCTTGCTTTTATTTGTATATTCACTGTTCCTTGGAATGTTTTGGTTATTTTGCTATTGGCAGACGCCTCAATTTGATCAGGGTGAACGCCGCCAATTCAAACAACTAGACAATCACATGGGAGGGAGGCATCGAGATGATTACAGACCATGCTACAGAAATACTAGAAAGAGAAAAAACACTACATTTAAATGTATGGTTGACTCAACCAAGACAAAGGAGATCTTCGCATGGCTTGGTTCCTTGCCGAGACAGACTCGGCATGCTACAAGGCTCGGTTGATTGGCCGGACTGACACTGCCATGATCCTGACCATTTGGAGAGTATGGGTGCTCCCTAAATGCAAGCTCTTTGCATGACTTGCAAACAACACTAGGATTTGAAGGGATGATAGCCCTTTAGCGTCGTAGGTGGTCAGATTGTAACCCGTGCCCCGTATGCAAGAAGATTGAAGAGTCGGTGGTACACCTCTTTTTTCAATGTCGGTACACTATTAGAGTTTGGTGCATGGTCAAAGATTGGCTTGGACTTCACGATGTGCATCCTTCCGATTGGGTGGGTTAAAGAGTGGTGAACCTACAACGTTACCAAAAAAACCCAATCGTGTAAGACGCTGGCTTCCTTGATGTTGCTTATCTCTTGGGCATTATGGAAGGAGTGGAATGCACGGATCTTTCGTAATTCCTTCGTCCCGATGGAAGATTGTCACTAGGACTAAAGAGAATACCTCGCTTTGGAGCATTGCAAGGGCGCGACACTTGAGTATTGTAGTGTAGCGAGAGTGATTGTTGCAATTCCGGCCTTGAGCCTTAACCTCCCAGCCTTCCTCCTAATCAATGAAAATTGCTAATTTTTTGCCTCGTTTCAAAATACAAAGGAGATCTTCAATTTTCATTCTCATGTAAACAAACAAGGCAGCCTTGGGCGTTTGTTACTTGGTTTGTCCACCCGACAACACTCCTCTCAAAGGAGAGTGTGACATCCTAGCTTAATAGAAATGATAGACCTGTCACTATTTGTCATCGTTTACAGTTATCGTGAATCTTGTCGATGACCGCCGATGGGAGGAGAGTGATGTTCTCAAAGACCTGTTGGTTCCTCTCCGGCTAAAGGGAGTGAAACGTGCAGATAATTATCGAGTACACCTCCTTGCAAAATTGTGACGTGGTTGACGAATTGTGAAAGTTCTTGCCATACATCGTGCTTGTTTCAAATTTTCCCAGTTAACATGATTATTGTGGGCGTGACCGTCTTTCTCGGATGATTAGGATTTTGGGTGGGTCAGCAACAAATTCTTGACCGAATGGGGGCGGTTGGGTGAAAATTGTGCAGCCCACGGTTACGGTAAAAAAAATAGATTGTGCAACCCAAGCCACTCCCCATCGTCCCGTTCAGCTCACGAAAGAAGAGAGCAGAGAGGTGAGACCAGTCCGAAAATCCAACCGGAGACTTCAAGAAATGGAAGCTGCCGGCCCACAAACGCAGCCGCCGGCGCCGCACCCATTGGTGGCTCCGCTGTCGTTTCTGCTGGGCAAGTGGCGCGGCGAGGGCGAGGGAACCTTCCCCTCCATCGCCCCGTTCCGCTACGGCGAGGAGATCCTCTTCTCCCACCACCCTTCCAAGGTACACCGCCGTCTCCCGGCCGTATGTGTTCCTTCGGTTGGCCGATCTGCAGAGCTTTTCATGCCTTTGCCTGACTCGGCGCGGGTGCGCGCAGCCGGTGATCTCGTACACGCAGAAGACGTGGAAGGCGGCGTCCGGCGACCCGATGCACGCCGAGAGTGGGTACTGGCGGCCCCGCCCCGACGGCTCCGTCGAGGTGGTCATCGCCCAGAGCACAGGCCTCACCGAGGTCCAGGTGTGTTCGTACTGACTGCCCACTGAGTTCTTGCAAGCATAGTTCTGTCTGATGCTAGATTGAGTATGGTATATGTATTTGGAGGCAGCTGCAAATGGCAACTCTGTTTAGGTGTTGCCTGTTGGTATTCGTTATAGGCCATCGCAATCCCAGTTTATAATTTGCACGGCAGGTTTCTCATGCTCAATTTAGTGTCTGCGTACTGTTCATATCTGAAGATTCTGAACTGGATACTGAAAACATTCTAGCATAGTTGCTTGCAACAGTATGTGGGTCAATAATAGTTATTTTAGCTAAACTGTTATTTCTGCAGTTATATTGTTCAATCTTTATTTTAGCTAAACTGTTATTTGTTGCCACAACTTTGCTTCTAAAATGCAGACGGGTTCATATGACAGTGAAAAGAAAACAGTGACACTCCAAAGCGAACTTATTGGCAATGCATCAAAGGTACCTCTCATAGGTTGATTGTATATGATGTCTCTTATTATCAATATTATCGTTATTACTATGCCACATGATGTTCTGACGGTCAATTTTGATTTGACTATGTGATAATGTTTTTTGTTTTTTGCTTTCAACCTACCATGCATCATTGTTTGTCCGATGAGCTTAGGTGCTTTGTTGTTAATTAGTCTCGCTCTGAGTAGGATGGGATAGTGTATTTTGTTTTCTGCGAATCAGGATGAACTCACGATATATTAAGCTTTTATCTCATCTTCTATGAGCTAGTAGAAATTTATCTTTGCACCAATATATCTGTACTAACAAGGGATAAATCTACATGTAGAATTTCTGAACTCTGGAAGCAATGCCCTACTTTCTTCTGCAGTTGTCTCATTTGTTTAAAACTCAGAAACTATGACACTTAGATCTGCTTTTGTGTTCCTGAACCGAAGTAGGAGGGGTATGACTCATCTTGCTGGCGGCACTTCATTGTATTTTTTTTCATAGGTTCGCAACACTCATCATGCACATTGTCTTTCCATGTTGGAGTTGCTAAACTTCATAGGAAGGTCATCTTCAGGGTTATCCACTCGCTTACGGAGTCTTGCAGCCGCCTAAGTTGCCTGAATCTCCTAAGAAATCTTGTATAATTTTGTCAGGTGAAGCAGATCACGAGGGCTTTTCAGGTGGTGGATGGGGAGCTCTCATACGTCGTTCAGATGGCAACAATCACAAACAGTCTACAGCCGCATCTGAAAGCGCTTCTCAAGAGGATCTGAGCAATCTCCTTGGGTGGGATTGCGGTAACATACCGTATCTGAAGCTCTAGATTCTTTGGGAAACTTAAAGTTCAGCTAATAAGGAGCTTCTACTCCCTCCGTCCGAAAAAACTTGTCCCTCAAATGGATGTATCTAGCACCAACTGGAACAAGCTTGGGACAAGCTTTTCCGGACGGAGGGAGTATTTATTATTTGCGAGAACATGAAAACCTATCATTTGCTGGTGGAATCTGAAGATTATTCAGGGCTTACTTTCGTATAAGCTTTTATGAGCGTCAGATGTCTATCGCACAGCAAACTCACGAGAAAGAAACTACAAAATCATAACATTAGCAAAATCGCATCAATGAAATGGAACATGAAGTTTCTGCAGGCACCCATGGAAAATTTCCAAAAACTCTTTTTTGGCACAAACAAAAAACAACAAGGATGTTTCGACAAGGGTGTTTTTTTAACGGGGGCGCTACGTATCGGCCTGCAGATGATCTAAAAAGATCGACCACCTCGCCGGCCGTTGGATGAAGCGAGAAGGACCATTGGATCTCCCCATGTGAACCCAGTTGAAACCAGTGATTTGCAACAAGCCAATTGTTGCACTCAATCTCTGCAGCAGGGGCCTTATTGCAACAACAAAAAATGTTATTTTCCATTATTATTCTTCTAGAACACACTCTTCTCAGTTTTTGACATGGCAACAAAATCATTGTTGCAAACCTCCTTTGCAACAGAACCTTCTTTTACAGAAAGAAACAACTTTATTAATTGGTAATAACGGTTACATCGCCTATTAAAAGTGTTACAATATCGTCCATCGGCTCCTCAAACCAAGAATTTGTTGCAGAAAATTTTGCTAGCCTAGCAATTTCATGAGCAATCATATTCGCTTCCCTATTACAATGTTTAAGACTAATGAGAGGGAAGATATACAAGCCAAAAAATAGCAATCGTCAAACACTGCCGACGCCTCTCCCGCAGACCGTTTCTTCATTGTCTCGATCACTTTCATATTATCAGAGTTAATAACAAGACAATTGCATCCCGCTTTTTGTGTAAGAGATGATCTGAATCTAAGAGCTAGAGCTTCTGCTGTCAGAACACACCTTTGCAACAGAACCTTTGTTGGAGAAACATCTGACTCGAACACCTTTGCAGAAGTAGTCGTAACTTGTAACACTAGACGACCTTGGGAGCAGCGTACGCAATGCGTGTCGAATCATTTCTTGTAATCACTTTTGAACATCAATTTTTTTTCCGAGACAACCACAAATGTTTTTACAGTGCAAACTTTGCATGTCAATAAAACATTCAACAATGTTTATAAAAATAACTTTTTGAACTTATTTCCTATTTTTTCAAAATTTTCTGCTCAACTGGGCCATAAGTTGACAATTTTAGAGATGCGACCAGCCCATCTTGGCACTGCTACTAACATTTTCCTCCGGCAATGTTCATTCTCATTCTCAATCTCAGATGATGTGTTGGCTCAATCTCACAAAGGTGCAGTCGGGTGTCTGGGGTGACTGTGCATTTTCATCTGTACTATGTTTAAAAAAACAGTTCATAGATTGACTTGGGGTGTGGAGGGGTAGAGAGTGAGAGACATGTCATAAAAATAAAAATAGGTTGGCATAACGCATAACAGGCAACTGTAGGGACATACTTTCATGTTTGAAAGATCCTAAAATCAGAACCAAAATTACTAACAGATCGCTCAATAGCCAAAATACAGAGATTGGTAAGTCTTCACTCCACTACAGAACCCCTGAATTCCTCAAGACAACAGTAGTGCAATCATGCTTCGGTCTGCTCCCTCAAGCGACGGATCGTGCTCCTGACGGTGACTGCACTAGCAGTGCTGCAAAGACACATGGAGAAATTAGCATAAAGCGATATGACAATGAAGAGGTCATCCAGAAGGAGCTCGGAACAGATGCCTACTTCATGGTATAGGCGCCGCCAGCCTTGACCTTGCCACAGTCCTTGCATCCCCAAATTCCAACAGCTTTCCTCTTCACAGCAAACTGATTATGATTCACAAGCAGAAAGCATAGTTTTAGACAACCAAACAAAAGTTTCCGTATATTTTTTTAAGGAAGCGTATAGGAAGTCAAATATATGCTACAAATAACTAGCATAATAGAGTATGTAACATATTAAATACAACCTCCCTTTCCTGTACTCAGATTACTACAGTACAACAAGCCCTTCATGGTGATGACAACATATACAATAAGATAAGATGACATTTTTGTATGATGAAACTACAATTAGAATGGCAACAATAAAACCAAATTGGACAACTTCTGTTGCAAATAGAAGATAAAACAGCTAGCATAAGATATTACAGGGTAATGACGTAACAAGATGAGAGGAAATTACGACTGACAAAGCAAAACTATCACTGGGAGGGAAAAAACATGCAAAGCAATACAAAACTATCACATCAAGCATCAATAAATACTCCATCCAGAAATACTTGTCAGAGAAATGGATGTATCTAGACGTATTTTAGTTCTAGATACATCTGTTTTTATCCATTTATGCGACAAGCAATTCCAGACTGAGGGAGTATGAACATGCATGGAAAGGTAGTCAGTGTACAGTACTACCCCAGTAAACAACAACAGTTCATACATAGCAGATAGCATTCACACAATGCACTGTGTAACCAAGTAGTAGGTGACAGAAGACATACCTTCCCACAGAATTCACAGAAGTACTTGGAGTGCTGAGACACCTCCATCTTCTTGATCTGCTTACGTAAACTGGCACCGTACCTGGTACCTATAACATTGCAAGGGCTAATTTGAGGACACAGCAGAAGCGCATAAACAGGTAAATGAGCCAAATGTTACAAGCGCATACCATACTTGCCGACGATTCCAGCCTTCTTGGTGCGCTTCGTCTGAGTAGACATTGCAAAACAACAAATTACACAGCAGCATAATAAAAATGAACATTATTATATAATCAGTGAAGCAACTGCTAATGCACATTTAACATCGAATTTGGGCAATTGATTAACTTCGGGTGTGGAAAGCTTAACATCAACGAAACACTAGTACATTAGACAAGGAAAATGTTCTGATATTGCATCCAGTTTGTATCCTTCCCCAAACAAAATATCGCACGCTCCACTCGAACCACTTGCGCAGATGGCTTTTCCCCTGCTATTCTACCTAACTAGCCACAAGCCCACAACACCATGTCAGTGCAGATTTCGTACACCGAGGGACTGGTTGAGTACCTGGGAAGTATCCCAATACACCTAGGTTCTAAGCCAATTGATGAACACATCGATTGGCCCAGAGGAAGTTTGCATAAAAAGCACAAAGCACAACTCAGGGCTAACACGGGTGGTAGAAAGGGGGAGCTCGACAGAGCTCAACATATCAGTAACACACAATCGAATTGCTGCACCATGATTTCGCACCTAGAAACACTACGATCTCGCAGGATGGATCCTAAGAAATACCGCATCCAAGACTGAAACGTGTTTCGCTATCGCAAGAGCTTGCCGAGAAAGGAAGTACGAGAGCAACGTACCATCTCGGCGGCGGGTAGCAGGAGGCGGCTGCTGCGGCGTAGGCGGGGAGATGGCGGTGCGCGTGCGAGGGCTCGGGCAGGGGGCGCTAGAGGGGAGCTTATACGAGCTTATATATCGGAGGCTAGGGTTTCCGTGGAAGTGGGCCTTCGACGGTTGGACTATTACATGTGGGCTGGGTCAAGTGGATAGATAGGTGGGCTCACTACTCGAGGTATGTGGTGGTAGTACAGAGTGGGCTTTCTTCACTCGGTTAGAAAATTTTAGTTTTTCTTTCAGCGGGAAAGATTTTTTTTCTTAGAAAAACAAAATTGTATGTTAACATATTCATACCCGAGCCCTTAAAAAAATCAAAGTCCAGATAAATGTTGATTCCATAGCTTGGCATGCACTTTGTTTTGTGTCTGTGTCTTTGTTTGTCGCATATGTGATATCAATTAAATGTCTCAACTATAGCTCTTTCAAATATGCTAAACGTGCTACAAATCAAATACGTTCTTTCAGTTGCCACCGGTTGTCCTGTAGCCGTGAGGAAATGACCCTGATAGAATGTGGGGAGCTCGACCATGGCAAGAAGCTAAACGGATGCATAAAGAATTGCGGCATGGGTAGGATCAAGTATAGCTCTTTCAAATACGCTAACCGAGCTCAACTGCAAGTCTTGTAGATAGAATCTTGTCAAAAATCTTGACCGGTCCATTTACTAAACTGATGGGTTGGAAAACATTGATATCCACTGCTCCAGCCACCTTTGGAAGCAACAACACTAAAGCTTTGTTGATGGCGGCCATGCCTCTCATGTCACCTCGGTAGAAATGGTCCAACGCCCATGCCAAGGTGGCATGAGAGGCATGGCCAGAGCTCCCGAAGGTGGCCGGAGCGGTGGATATCAAGAATTTCCGACCCACCATTTTAGTAAATGGATCGGTCAAAATTTTCGACAAGATTTTAGCTACAAGACTTGCAGTTGAGTTCCCGAGGCTTGTGGGACATCATCAAAGTGCATTGTTGTCGGGGGGATGAGCCCTGTGCAGGCAACGGAACCCGGATCTTTTTCAAAAACATCGGGGCCCCCTCAATCCGGCTCGCACTTGGTCAGGTTGCTCAACCCGGCCAAGTCCGTCGACCCGGCCGAACTCAACCCGGCCCCCAACGACTAGCGCAAGACGGCTGAACGCCAGCAAGCGACGACCTGACGGTGCGCCACTGTAACGGACTTGACCTGGCCACCTTCGGCAAACAGTGCCCCTAGCTCAACCTGACAGTCAGGTCGGGTCAGGCCGACCTAAGACAGACCCACGCCCGAACCCTTTATCGGGCCAGTCTTGCGCCCACGACCCTACCCATGGGTCTCAGATCAGACCCACACCCCAACCCATCGGGTTACCCGGTCTAATTGGGCACCCATCGGGCATGACCAAAAACTGTTATTTCTCCCTAATAATAAAGCACGGA